CGTGTTGTTTAAAATATGAAAATCAAGTCAGGCATTTAAGATTTACTAAAGGTGAAACGCAAAATAATATAAAACTGATTATACTTAGTTTTGCAAGGCAGTTTTGTAGTCCTATGATACTAAGTCTATTAAAACATTCTAGAATAGTGGGAAACTGAGGGGGAAAGTAAATAAATACAAAGTTATGAAAAGATTAAGAGACAGAACAAAGACAGAGAGTAAAGGAATGAAAAGAAAGAGAGATCCCACACTTGGTTGTGGGATTAGGTTCTCACCCTACAAAATTTAATTATTTTCAAATGTAGCTCATGCATTTCACATGGCCTCAATCCGAGCCAACTCTGCTTGTCAATCGGCTGTGATGGCCGAGCTAGCATTACCACTAGTGAGCTAATAATCTGCTGCCATGTTTACTGCCAGCTGACCCCTATTGACCAAGCAAGATATTCTTACATCTTATAAACCAAACTGGTGTGGGTTGGACAATGTTTTTTATGAGTTTTTATTTTAAAAAATGTTGGCAAACACAACAACGGAGTTGTGTTTGCTGGAAGACAGACCCACACAATAAGGAATGTGAGGGGAAATTCAATGATAACCTAACTGAAGTACAGAAACCTTTATTGAAGGGATGCCTAAATGTGGTTTTCCAAATCCAATTAAGTAAAAGTTAATTTGTTATTTTTTTTCTCTCATAACGTTGAATATCGTTTGATATTTCAAATGTTTTGCATCTTTTGAATCATAATTTTTCATAACTAGTTAGAGGTAAAAGCATGAACTTTGGTGTGCTTTTTTTTCACAAGCAGACAGGTTAGCAAGGCTTCCGAAAACTAGCCTACAGAAGTCTTCTGCTGGCTCTGTCATCATGTGACTATTGCCTGGCTGGTCATGCACAGTCTGAGGCTCTACACATGCAGAAGAGCTCCACAGTGTCAGCAAGACTGACAGACCTCCCAGAAATCCATGCCATATATCCACTAAAAGTTAACTACAGCACTTTGCTCTTCTTCCTCTTTCCCTCATCCTATCCCTCACTCTGTCACAGCTTTCCTTCTGCACTTCTATCCTCATCCGTCACCACATTCAGCTCAACAACGCTAACAAACAGAGCATCATACTGTATAGTGTTTTCTATAGAATTCTGAGGAATTTCACAAATTTTACTCTATTTAATAGTCTTTACTTTAATAGTTAAAGTATTCATTTAACATTGGATTAATGTCTTTCATCAAAACACACCAATAATCATTTTGTATAAACACCATTTTTTCTCCCCCTTGACTTCAGTGTCACCTGTCTAACTGAGTAATTTCATGTCTGTAATTCTTTCTCCAGCGAAGCCAAAAATAAAGAGCAAAATATAAAAAAAAGAGAAGAAAAGCAAAACTTATAATGATTGTAATAATCAGCGCATTGACTAACCAACAAAGAAACAGGTGTGTGTGTGTGTGTGTGTGTGTGTATGTGTAGGAGGATGGAGGTGGCAGTGTGAGCATGCTCTCTCTGCTATTTGCTCGACTGGTAATCAGCCAAACGCGCTACAAGTCTCCTGCAATGATTTGCCCCCCGGTGTGTCTCCAGTCTGAACGCCTGTGAGTAAGTTAGTGTTTCTCTTTGCCGATGTGTGCATGTATTTATGTAGTATACGTATGTCTGCTCCTGTCGGTGTGTGTGGATGGGACTTTGTCTGTGTATGAGTGTACTGTATGTCCATATGTGTGTGTGTGTGCATCTCAGGATTTATATTTGTTTCCTGTGCCTTCCCCCTGCTGAGGGGTATACCCTGACTGAGGTTTACAGCTTGTGTGTGTGTGTGTGTGTGTGTGTGTGTGTGTGTGTGTGTGTGTGTGTGTGTGTGTGTGTGTGTGTGTGTGTGTGTGTGTGTGTGTGTGCAGTCTTACGTGCTCACAGATGTGTGTTTTTGCCGGATGGGAATACAACTCCTAGGACATTTAATCTAGGGAGAATTTCACGCTAGTTACTGCTTGTCATCAAACGTTTCTAGCGTAAAATACTGCAGCGATCTTTTATTGGCGGATGTTCAGGACAAATTCACTGTCAGACCCCTGAGTGCCCCGCTGCCCTCCAGATAGACTGAAAGTGTGTGTGTGTGTGTGTGTGTGTGTGTGTGTGTGTGTGTGTGAGGAAGACAGAAAAAGACACTAATCACAGACAAAGTTTGTTGCCTCAATGTTGTTGCTTTTCAGCTGAGACAAATGAATCTGAGTTCTGTGTGTTTTGAGTGTGTGGTTTTAAGTTGAAATTCAAACTTTATAATGCAGAGATACAGAGACATGAAAGCCTCTTTTCTGCACACACACACACACACACACACACACACACACACACACACACAGAGAGATCTGATCCCAAGCTTAGGGGAAGACCGATCCAGTATATCTACAGTCGTATGTGTTCACTTAGCAAGCCACAGCTGCTAGCACCATTACTATGATTTCCTGTGTGCGTATGTCTCTCTGTCTATCTGCCCCCACAACACACACACATCTAAGGGTCCTATCCAAATGGGTTTTAGCAGGACACATATTTTACACCCGCCTGAGCTGCTCTGATGTTCAGGTGCTCCACTGTAAAATGTGACCCAGGTTGTCTTCTAATGCATATCACAGTCTGAAAAAAAAAAAGACATATTCCCTCCACCCCATCTACAAAAACAACTCATAACCTTAACTTTAAACGTCTGAGTAGGCCTGATAGCTTTTTTTTTTCCCTCTGTATTAAAAGCTTTCAGTATTTAAGTGGGCAGTGAAAAACAAAGGACACATTTGTTTAATCGAATAATCCTTGCTGTGTTTAAGATGACTCCAAAGCTTTCAAATTTGAGCCTTAATGTTTCGACAAGCTGTTCAATCAGTTGTTTTTTGAGGACATCGCAAATGGCAGGCTGTCTCTGAAATACGTTTGCTTGTTTTACCTGACCCACTTTTCCTTCTCTGTGTTTGTGTGTGTGTGTGTGTGTGTGTGTGTGTGTGTGTGTGTGTGTGTGTGTGTGTGTGTGTGTGTGTGTGTGTGTGTGTGTGTGTGTGTGTGTGTGTGTGTGTGCTGTCCCTCTTTGCTCAGAAGGTTGTAAATGTAATCTTAGACACATGTTACTTCGGCTGATGTTTTTCAGATTGATGTCAGTTGCGATTAGCATATCTCCTGCCAAGACACAGGAGTGCTCTTTAGAGTCTGGCCTCATACACACTCACTCACACACGCACTCACACACACACACATGTACGCAAACCATTGGGTAAACATAGCTCAGCTGCCATTTTGAATGATTGCACGATGATTATTTGATGCAGTGATTTATTTTGAACGCAGCCTGTAAGTAAACTGAGGCAGGAAAGGATGAGAAATCTGACTGACAAGCTCCAAAACAAAATTCTACCCCAAGACAGTCTCCTGACACCCCTTTCCCAGCTACATATTATTACATCCTGGCCCCAAAAAACACATTTTAACACTCCCTGGCCTCCAACTTTAATGTCACCCTGTCTGTTTCTTAAAATGCCGTCTCTCAGAGTGCAGCCATGTAAATGCAGCTGTGACCAACACACTCCATGCCGAAACTGTTTCATTTACATTCATCTTGTGCTTGGGAATGGAGAATTCCTCCTCCAATGTAAGACAGCGGGGGAACTGTGCAAAACGAATTTCTCGCCATCTCCGGAGAGCGAACGATATAGGGATTCAGCACACACCCTTCAGACAATGGAAGAGGAGGGGGTCTTATTTTCTTCTCTCTCCCCTCTTTTCCCTGTCTCTCTCCACACCTCCCTGACCCTGCTTCCCCTCAACCTGCCCAGCAGAGTGAGAGACTACGTGTAGCACCAACAGGGGGTGGGGTGGGGTGGTGGGGGTTGAAAACGAGGGTTTGGAGTGAGACTGAAAGAAAGTCAGATAAAAGTAGTTAAAAGAAGGAGAAAAGGGAAGGGGGGGTGGGTGGGCAAAGAAACAACAGGAGAGTGACTGACCAAATACCCAGCGACAGAACGAGAGTGGAAGACAGATGCAGAGAGGGGAAGAGAGAGGGGGAGAGAAGATGAGAATATATATGCGGTGGCCAGTGTTGTGAGACAAGGCAGGTTGCTGTCACTTTAAAAATGACTGTAATAAAAGTGACCGTCGGAAGATGGATCTGGTGATTTTGGCTTGCTAATCAGTCATCTGTGAAGAGGACCACAGCCCAGATTCAGCAGCCGCCTGACACCTCTTGATTGATGCCTGTGCCCGATAAAAAAGGCCCATTAACTGTCCTCCTATTAAACTGGGTGAAATGGCAAAAAAAAATGCTCCTCTTTCCCACTCTGCTCCTCTAATCTCTCTTTCATTTAAACCCTATATCCTTTTATATTTTCTGCCCTTTTTCCTTATCAGTCCTCTCTACGCTGTTAAGGTGGTCTGTTCTTCTTATAGTTATTATTGAGATAGTGGAAGAGATGTTAATCAGCGAGGCCTGCTTGTGTTTGCGTGTGTGTACTTGCCCACATTTGCACCGGATGTCACATACTGTACTTGAGTACAGTCCTCACACTCAAATCAATAGATCAATAGGTGGCCAAAACACACTATTCAATGTGCCAGCTGGTACCTGTTGTCACAAATTCTTGTTAAGTATGCAAATGAGCCTGCATAATGAGTGATGTCAGAAAGTGTGTGACTCTAAGCCTTGTTTTAGTCCCATGACATGCGTCAGAAAAAAATAATGACCCTGCAGCTGAATCTCATATCTTCTCATCTCTCCTTCTCTCTCTTAGACACAAACACGCACACACACACACACACACACACACACACACACACACACACACACACACACACACACACACACACACACACACACACACACAGACACACATAGACACACACAAAGATTGCCTGCAATAATAATAACCCCACAGACGACAGCTTCAGCCCCCTCCCTCCCATCCCCTCTTCCCCCCTCACCCCCCCCTCCCACATACAATCAAACAAAGCCTCTCTCTTACCTTGCGCATGACCAATCCTTCCATCTCTCCCTCTTTTTTTTCCCTCCACCATCCTATCTATGCATGCTCTTCCCTTTCTGTAAACCCAACCACACCTAACAGCAACACCTTGCACTCTCCCGACCATCCCACAGCCTACAGCGCGGCACTCACACCCCCAATAAATACAGCCCTGGTCTGCCGTTTTCCCATCTATCCCTTTTTCCTCTGCCCCAGTCTCTTTCCCCTCTCTCCCTCTCTCTCTCTCTCTCTCTCTCTCTCTCCCTTTCTCTCTCCCTCTGTCTTTCCCTCTCCCCTCGCTCCTGGCTGGTGCTGGTGAAATATCAGGGCAAACGGATTCCAGCTTTTTTCTCTGGCTCAGAGGGGTTGTTCTGTGCGATTTGGCCCTGGGGTGCATTTCAGCGCTTCTGATGTGAGAGAGGGGGCGAGAGAGAGAGAGAGAGAGAGAGAGAGAGAGAGAGAGAGAGAGCAATAGAGAGAAAGAGAAAGGAAGCATGAGACAGAGAGAGAGAGAGAGAGAGAGAGAGAGAGAAAGAAGACACTGCAAGGGTTTATCCTTTCTTTCGAAGGGGCAGTCAGCGGTTTTAAAACGACGGGCTTTTGACCAGCATTGAACCAGCAACTCGAGGTGTGCATGCTCTTCGTAGCTTACAGAGGCCTTGAGGTGATCTCCATACATAATCAGGACAATCCACCTCCATGACAGGTGCGCGGCCATCTTGGAATCTCTCTGAGCTGGTGGACTTGAGCAGAGTGTCTGTGCGCTAGTGTATATACGGAAAAAATGAACGACTACAGAGCAACGTTATTGCTTTAAATAAATTGACATGTGTTCAAATGAAAATCTTATTTTTTTCTTTTTTACACAATATATATTTTCATTACCAATGAAGATTGTCTGGTATTTTGATTTAATTTCATTTTCCTACTAAACTGCTACAGGACACCTACACAAAGATTTAACATATTCTTAAAATATTTACCTGTATTATTCATTTAAGTCTTTAAAATAAAGAAGTCATTATTACCTTTGGTGGAGCACAAAAGTTACTGTACAGAATATTTTAGTGTCCTTTTAAATAATTCTTTCAATATTTATTCATTTTAACAATAAAGTAAAAATGTGCCTGGTATTTGTAGTTTTCAGGCCAGTCATGTCTTCGAGTACATAATTTTGCAGCAGAATTCATTTTGGAATTTCCACAGCTGATTGTGTTTTACCTTCTCCTTTGTGTGTCCATGCATGTGTGTAGTTTGCACGACTTCATGTGTGCATGTATATGGGTGTGTTTATATTTCCTAATCTCACATCTCACTGTGGAACGTTCTAAAAGGATTTGTCATTCTCAGCTCAGTTGGGCTGATTGTGAATTAAATGTATTTTTAGGCACCTTTTTCCGTCCCTTTGTGAACCCAGTTAGAATTGAGGTCAGGACACACAAACAGACACACACACACACACACACACACACACACACACACACACACACACATGCACACACACCATCTCAGAGAAAGACACATAGCTTTCAGAACAAATCACTGTTGAACTACCCTGTGTGGAATGATTCTGACATTTTGTTTGGGAGAAATAGCATTTAATTGAAGGGAGGGGCGATACGGATGGCAGTTATGCAACCAAGGGAAAATGTCTACATTTCAACCCAAATTGAAAACATAACAGAGTTTGTGTATGTGTGTGTGTGTGTGTGTGTGTGTGTGTGTGTGTGTGTGTGTGTGTGTGTGTGTGTGTGTGTTGAGGGGGTTGCTTGCACCATTTCACTGTTATCCACAGTTTGCTTGCTTGTTTGATTGTAAATTAGTTCAAGTTAAGGGGTTTATTCGATAAAAAACAATACTGACTTTTGCATTATTAATAAAATGTAATCACTTTCTCTTCTATCTATCTATCTATCTATCTATCTATCTATCTATCTATCTATCTATCTATCTTGGTTTTACTAAATTTGCAAGTATGAAATGTACATGTATGATGATCAAGTGTAAAGCTCTCACATTTCCACATATTCACTTCACTGTTTAATTTTTAATAATTTAATTAATTTTTTTTTTTTTTTTTACAAAACTTAATGAGCAGTTAATAATGGAAATTTGAGATTAATTCATTTATTTTTGGATATCCAAGATAAGAAAAAAGATTACATTCTTTTTACTCATTAACTGATGTCCCACCCGCTTTTTAAAATTATTACTTTTTTTTCTGTAATAAAAAATGATATTGTTAAGCCATGTTGATCTCCATAAGGAAAATGTTCTGTCTTTTGCCCCCAACACTGTAAGGTCAGAGGTCAGACTCACCCTTAGAACAGGCATCTGAAGCTGGAAGTGTTTTGCTCAATGACACTTCGGCACGGTAGTTGCTTGCAGAAATGGCTGCTTGAACTCCGGTCATCCGGTTTAATGATGGTCACTAGGAAAGGAGGTTGAAGAGCCCTCATAAGGACTCCTCTAATGCAGTAAAGAAGCCAACAAGCATCTTTCAGGGTCACTGCACACCTCAGAAAATGACGCCTCTCTCTCTCTCTCTCTCTCTCTCTCTCTCTCCCTCTCTTTCTTTCTTTATCCTCTCTTTCCCTCCAAGCGTTGCCAATTTGTCTGAGCCGCATCCGCTAATCCGTGCGCATTTACGCATTGGTCATTGCGCCTCCGGTTGACTTGGTTGGCTTGATAGATGATGGCGTCCTGGCAGGAGACTGACTGACTGTACAAGCTCACAGCTGACAACACTGTTGGGTGGTAACTCTCTGCTTTGTAACGTGCTGCAACACAAACAACGAGTGGGGGGAATCAATATCCACGTATACTTCTTTTTTTCTGTCCAAATATGAAAATTACTAAATAAAACAACGAGACATTAATTTTCTGTTTCACCAGTGGAGTTAAATTATTCAAAAAATGAGCCATAGCCTTATTTTTAGTGGAATATGTGTTCGAAATGTGGATCGAAATAAGATGAAATTATTCAAATAGCCAAACTTTTGCGGAAAAACGTTTACCTACAAGAAGATAATTTACCAACAATGGCGTCACAAATAGAGGCCTGCTGCCAGGGAGTAGCGGACTACAGCAACATTACTTTTAGGTCATGGGTAACATTGCCTTTTTGAGTAACAAGCCCAGCACTGGCTATGAGACGCCACTGACGTTTTTTCCCCTGGATGTCGAGATGTCAATCTGTTGCCATAGAACTGACTTCTCGGTACTGACCGGGTTATTTGCCGTGTTGGGATGGCCCACTGAGTGTCAGAGGAAAGGAGAGAGGCGGATGGGGGGTCATGGATGGATGGATGGTGGGGGTGGGAAGGTGGAGGGATGAGAGTCCCCAAGAGAGAGAGAGGGAGAGTGGGGGCTCCTGGAGAGGACCTCTCGGACCACTAAATTGACATGTTCAGGCTCCTGGGTTGCCATGAAGAAAGCGCTCTAATAAGCCATGTGACAACATACAGTACAGCAGTCTTACTTTCATGAGGCCATTAAATAGCAGGCCTTCTGTTAGATTTCAAATTAGATTTTGACTAATTTAATTTGACTTACATTTTATTCATTTATTTTAACACAGTGTGTACTATTATTATTATTATTATTATTATTATTATTATTATTGATTTACAATTTAGCATTTTCATAATTTATTATAGCATAAGATAATATTAGATCAATACAGAATTATTGATGTATTTATAGTTTATTCCTGCAGTAGTTTAAATATTCAAATTACCAATTGAGAGTCATTTTGATCATCATTTTCGATGCCATCGATTAATCTCCTTTTTCTTTAATAGGGAGCATACAGGTGCTACTGTTCCCATCCACTGCAGCTTTACAGGTCTATAAGTGCGCGTGGATCTGATAGATAATCAATAGAATTTGGCGTTGAACGGGGCTGGAGGCGGGTAGATGTGTGTTGTGTGCTCGGGCATCACGAGGAGGCCGTTTTGGGGGGGGCTTTTTTTTATTCCTCTGTCCATATATGGAGGACCCTCACTGGACGCGTGTCTATTAAAGAGGGATCAACAATGAAAAAGATCGGAGGACCAAAGGGCCAAGTGGGAGGAGGGCAGCGGGGCGAGGTGAGACTGAATGGAAACAGCAGTGGTGTTGGTGGTGTGTTGTGTGAAAGAGATGCACATGGGGAGCGGGGTGTGTGTGTGTGTGTGTGTGTGTGTGTGTGTGTGTGTGTGTGTGTGTGCGTGTGTGTGTGTGTTATAGTGTTGATTTCCTCTGCGAGCGACAGAAATGCGGGCGACGACGTCTGCCAAGTCATCCTTCTCCTCCTCTCTTGTGTCTGTTCTTCTTCTACTCCTCCTTCTCGCTTGCCACAACACTTGTTCTTCCTCGGGAGCAATATCACGGCAGCCCCCCCCCTTGCCCCGCCTGCATCTGGGTAAAGACTTTACAGTCAGGGGCCATCGATTGCTCTTATCAAATAAACAGAGTGGCACCAGCGGCTGCACGGACCCACCACCCTGCACCTCCACCCCATCCTCCTTCCCCTGTATCCTAATCTCAAGTCCCCCACCAACCCAACCCACCCACTCCAATTCCACCCCACCTCTCCCCCTGCTCGAGAGCCCTAGCAGCTGTGGTCCCATGTAAATTTTACATGATTGGCACCTCCTTATTTTACTCCCCCCCCCCCTGTCCCCATTCCCCTGTTTCTTAGCCCCCTTCATATCATGTTGCATATTAATGCACAGTTTATGCAATAGCTCATCTGACAGGGCGCACCGGCTATCATGCCCATGCTTTTCCCTGGGAATTTGCATACCTGATTGTAGTGTCTGAAGTGCTTGATTGTTGCTTAGGTAGGTTATGTGACGCTGAAATGTGATATTTGGTGTGGAGACCGGGGGTGGGTGGGTTGGGGGTGCTGAAACGGTTCCCCTTGACCCTTGAAATGCAACGTAATCCCGTGTGGCCCCGTTTGATTAGGGCATTTTTCTGTCTAATTGTTGTCATCAGGACTTCCACTATCATTGTGCATCTGGAAGCACTTTGACATCTAAGTCAGCGGTTCTCAAAAGTGGGGTTCAAGAATCCTCAAAGGTCCGCAAAGGCCACGCAGGCTCCCCCACCACCCCCCGGCAAAATGAAGAATTGTTTAATTTCACTGTGATT